TATGTGCAACTACCCAGAGCCTTATCTCTCATAAATATTTGCTACTGTGGTAGAAATAGTTTATGTATTTTTATGCAATAGCTTAACCTTTTAGTAGTGGAAATAGCATTGTAAGTATCTTTAAGTCTAGCTAGACTTGACAAACAATTAGGAATACTTTTCCTTAAGATTTTGTTCCTCTATAACTACTCGTGGTATCAAATGTCTTACAGAAGGATATCTATACAATCACATCCCAAATCTGTGTGTACTAAGACCAAGGGTCATGTGGGGATGGCCATATCTGACCTCTATAAACTTTTCAAAGGGGAACTATCTAGAGCAACATCAGCAACAAAACCAATTCCTATGAAGCCTGACATGTCCACCACACTCCCACACCATTTTCTATTCATCCTAACACCAATCTTACTGCTTTATTGGGTCCAAAATCTGATTCAGTAGTTCACAGAGCACACAGAACCATAGTGGGGAAGTAAAAGATGTTATAGTTCAGAATGGTAGCAGAATATAGTCAGCACAACTTCTGAAATGTGCTTGTGAGGATCTTGGCCTTGAAGCCTCATGGCTTCAGGCCAGTATCACATAGTTCTCAGTCTGCCAATATTGGCTCCCCACCCTCAGTTTTTGAACAAACTTAGAAAACGCTCTTAGCTCCAGTTTCCATGGTGCAGCAGTCCCAAGGTCCGTCCCATCTCATGTCATGTTCCTGGTTCTCCTTCTCATTTCAGGTCTTCAGTTGACTGCTGCTTCTATAGGACCTCCTAGTCTGTCTGGTGTCCTGAAGAACTAGTTGCATTCTCTTGCTTGTTCTTTTCTGGTAGTGAGATTCCTCTCCTGCTTCTGCTGGATCCACTCAATTTGATAGTCAATCACCTTGTGGATTGATGTGACTAGCCTTGTGATTGGTGAGACTAGCCAAATCCTATTGACATATTTCCACCCATTCATGTGGCAAAGTTAATTTGATGGCTAGGAAAGCCATTTTGAACACTAAACTCTTCACACCACACTGTGGATCAAAGAACAGGTTGCGGGGGGGGGGGAAGTCTCTTCTGTCTTATGTGGTTGCAGAGGTTGATGAACCATAAATCTGTAGATCATGTGAGACTTGAGGTTCTGCTGGTTTTTATTCCCAAGAAGTGAAGTCAGGTGATGAGAAGAGTAACTAATACATTTCAATCAAGTCAGAATTGATTCATAGCTGACCCTCCAGTAGGTTTTCAGAGGCTATAAATCACATGGAAGGTGGTTTCCCTTCTTTTTTCCTCAGGAGCTACTTACTGGTGGATTCAAACCACTTGCTTTCAGGGTTAGCAGTGCAACTCCATACCAACATTGGTACTTGAGTACAGAGAGCTAAGTTAGCCAGACTGTCCATTCATATACTAGAAGCAAGCCCTACCACTAAGAAAAATCCATTTTCAACTGATTGACTTACATCAAATCACAAAATGGAAAGAAATTACATTGTGTCTGTCAAATTTGAGAATCACAGTGAAGCCAAATTGACTCATAAAATTGACCACCCTGGTTTCTTACTCTATGACTGGGTGTTATTAATAACTAGAATCCAAGGCTGACACTTGTTTTGGCCTACATCTATTTAGTATAATTTTACTGATACATTGAGTTATCTATCAGAGGAAGAAGTTTTGTTTTGTATTTAAAAAATTGTGGAAGTGAAAGCAATTCCACTTAAGTAAAAACTCCTTTAAATAGAGAATACATAAGAAGACCCATGGCAGATGGGGAAGAAAAAAATTACAAGACTCTTAATTCTAACCAAGAAATTTTAGATTACCTGAGTTCTAACCTAGTACAGATTCAATGTGTTCTGAGACCTCAGCAGCTGTGTTCTTTTCTTTTATCTTGGATCTTTTTAAGGAATCTGTATCTTCCTTCCATAAAAAAAGATATTTATTTTGTCAAAGGAAAGATTCCTATTTTTAAAACCTAAGGTTTATAGTGAACCATAAACTATATTTTCCATTTTAATACCAAGCTAATATACCAAGATAATACCAAATTACTATCCCAGAAATTTCTTCCATATTTTTTTTTAAATCAAACCCCTACTCATTCATTTTATTACTGCTGCCTAATGAAGTACACCCCTAATAGGAGCATAAACATTTTCTTTTTCTTATGCTTTGTGTGGAGGGGAGGTTTAAGAATTTGAGAAAGCATTCTCACTTTGGGATCTTTCATACATTTCTTGTTAGGTGTTAGCTAAAGATGAAGCAATCTTGAAAGTCCTATTGGGCTCGATATCTAATGTGGCTGGCAGTTGATGCTGTTTGTTTCAAGTTCAACTGAGTCTGTCACTTGAAGGGCTTACATTCAGCTTGTCCATCATGATAGTCTCAGGCAAGACAGTTGGACTTTCTAGATAGACCTGAGTACCTACCATTTGACATCAGGTTTAGAGAATTTTCTCCTTTAAAGCTCATTCCCTTTTCTTTCTTTTTTCATTCCCTTTTCAAGTTAGTTCTCATGTATCCCCTTCCAATGCCACAAGAGACAACCACTGGAAACTCATTGTCATGCAATTGGAATGGACTCACAGCTGACCGTTCACTGAGTTTCCAAGGCTGTTAATTGCACAGGAGAAAACGACCCATCTTTTTTACCTGAGAAGCCACTGGTAGATTCAAACTACAAGAGAGGTGCAACCTCTGGGTTAGCAGCTCAAGTCCCTATGGACTAGGCTACCAGAGTCCCCTACTAGTTGACTTATATTATTATAGTTTTGCTTGTTCTTTAAATAAATCCTACTTTAAAAAAATTTATACTGGTTTATTTACAAATTTCGAATACATTGTTTTTCACACCAGATCTTTAAATTCCATTTTTTTTTTAAAATTTAGGTTGTTTATTTTTCATTTCAATGAACATCTACAGAGATTTTGGGATTCCATTCATTCATTGTTGCACCCTTCTCCCCGCACAAACCTCTCCCCCCTCCCCCCCCATTTGCTCCTCTCCTTGAAAAGCAAAATAAATTCTATTTTTATAATGAAATTATACACTACATTTGTGCACACATGGGTATGTATGTGTGGCATGTATGAGGGCTTTCCCTCAATATAAGGCTTTCAGATTCATCCATGCTATCAAAATATCTTTTTAATTATCCACTTAATCTTTTTTATTGTTGAGTCATATTTCATTGTATGAGCCCACCACAATTTACCCCTCACCTGCTGTTGGATATTTTTGTTTGTTTGATTGCATTGATGGCTAATTTAAGGATGTTATGAATATGCTTGTATGCATGTTCAAGTACTGTTAAGTCACCTTTGGGAACATTTAAATCTACAGAATCTATCAAGTATATAACTATTTAAAGAACTTTGATATACTTTTATCTTTCTAGAAATATTTTCTATCATAATTGATCTAGGATTAATGAATCTATATACTGCTGTCAGAGACCTCTCCAAGGCACTGAAGAGCAATGATGTCAGTCTGGAGACTAAGGTGTGCCTGATACAGGTCATGGTCTTTGCCATTACTTGCTATGCATCAGAGAGCTGGACAATGACTAGGGACGATAGAAGGGGAATTGATGCCTTTGAGCTTTGGTGCTGTTGAAGAGTACTGAATATACCATGGACTGCTAGGAGAACAAACAAGTTCGTCCTGGAGAGGGTGAAGCCAGGCTGCTCCTTGGAGCCAAGGACTCTGAAGCTCCATCTTATAAACTTTGGACATGTTGCAAGGCGGGATCAGTCTTTGGAGAAGGAAAGAGTGGAGGGACGGTGCAGGAGAGGAAGACCCTAGATGAGATGGATTGATTCCATCACTGGGGTAATAGGGATAGGTGTGTCAGAGAGAATAAGGTTGGCAAGACATAGAGCAGGGTTTAGGGCTGTTGCATATAGGGTTGGTATGACTCGGAAGCAACTCGATGCATATAACAACAACAAGTTTACTATTGCAGACCCTTCTAGTAATTTTACTATGTTGTTAAAAAATGGAATAGTTATCAAGAAAACCACGTATTAACAGAATTTTAATTCTAGAAAGTCACATAATAAAAATTATAAGGGTGACTAAGTTAAAACAATGATTACTTCCCTTTATCTTCCCTTTCCAACCTCTTTCAAATCCATTCCCTTTTAGTATAGAAGTAAGCAAAACTAGAGTAAGTTGTCTTTCCAAATTTCTGTGCATAGGCGAAATAGTATTGCCAGAGGACTGGAACTTCATATTGACCGCAAATCTGAGCTCATCACTAACAAAGGACTCTTGTGTCCTTTCTAGATGACTAAAACCTTAAGCTATTGTTACTATTGCTAAAGGAGTGAATGTCATTCTGTCTCTCAGGGAATAGAAGTCCTTCTGACAGAGGCATAGTAAACTTAGATTTTTAAAATATTTCAGATAGTATTCAAGTAATTGTCAAATAGCTAGCTATTTGTGGACAAATTATGCCAATTCTACTTACTAATAGAGGACTGAAGAAAATCTGAGTACACAGACTCCAAATCTATGCAGACTGGGAAATAGGTATTATCCAGATAATAAAAGAATAATAGGTAATTTTATTTCCTTGTGAATTATGCCTAATCTTCCTGGATACAAAAAAAGTGTAATTTGAATATATAGCACAAGAAAAGAGAGCTCTGGTTGCCTAGCAGCAAGAAGCTGCACTGCAATCCTGAAAGCATGCAGGTGGAGGCCACCAGCTACTCCACAGGAGAAGGATGGGCAATCTCCTTCCATTGGATTAACTGCCTCTGAAAACCCAGTGGAGGGTCAGCTATGGGTTGGTCCTGACATGACGGTATACAACAACAACAACAGCACAAATAAAAACCTTGGGATAGATAAAAAGATCTTTTTTTTTTTTTTTTTAGAAAAAGTCTGATAAAATATACATTAAAAACCTGTATCTACTACATCCAAAATAATCTCAAATGTGGATCTAGATTAATGGGGACACCTTGGGAAATCTGGTCAAAATAAACTGACAGAAATTAGGAATCATAAGCGATAATGATAATAAACATTTATTTTCCAGACTTGGGAGAAATGAGTTTGCTCTGCCAAATGACAGCTTTTCTGAAAGATTTTCCATTCATTCCAAGAATTGGATAGGCTTGATTTTAGAAGATTCTGTACAGTTAATTCATAAAGATAAATTTCCTTTGAAGAGGCTGGTCAAAGAGTTAGCCTTCGTGAGCAGCTTCGTTGGTGCATGGCCAGACTTCCTCTCTGAGTGAAGCTTTTTCCACACTGGCCACACAGATAGGGTGTCTCTCCTGTGTGTATTTTGCCATGTAAAATACAGTTGCCTCTAGTGTGGAAACTCTTCCTGCACTGTGAACAGGCATAGGGTTTCAGGCCTGTGTGAACTCTGATGTGAACAATCAAGCTTCCTTTCTGACTGAAGGCTTTTCCACATTGATCACACCTGTAGGGTTTCTCACCACTATGAACTCTTCTATGAACAGCAAGGTTACTTTGATTCCTGAAGCTTCTCTGACAAATAAGACACTCATAGGGTTTCTGTCCAGTGTGGAGTCTCTCATGAACAGCCAGACTACCTCGTTGACTAAAGCTTTTCCCACACTCTTTGCACTCATATGGCTTCTCTCCTGTGTGTATTCGCTGATGTGTAACAAGATTTCCTTTGGCCCTGAAGCTTTTTCCACAGTGGGTACACTCAAAGGGCTTTTGACCAGTGTGGATTCTTTCATGCAACGTTAGACTACCTTTTTGCCTAAATGATTTTCCACATTCCTGGCAATCATATACCTTTTGTCTTACTCCAGATGAATCTTCAGGAAGTGTCTTAGAATCTGGGGATTTTTGTTCTAGCTTCTCTCTTCTGAAAGAACTCTGGAAATCCCAGCTTGAGGATCCTGTGGCCTCAGAGGGATCATATTTGTGGTGGGCTTCTGTCATCACATCTGGTAAAATGAGAAGGAAGTCATGTAAGATGCATCAATATGCTGAATGAGAAGAATAGGAAAAAAAAGAAACACAACACTTTGAGTGCTTAGTATGTGTGAGGCATTATATGAGAAATTTTCCTTAGGTAATTTAATTTTGAAAATGTGATTGATAAAGATGAAGAAATGAAAGCACAGGGATGTTACCAAAGATCTTAAAGCTAGTAAGTGTAGAGTTCATATTCAAATTTAGGCATTCTCCACAGCTTTTAATTTTAATTTCATTTAGCTTCTCAGATAATTTTGTCAATTGGACATGCTTATCTCTACAGACTCAGAAGCAGGCTCAGAAATTAGACAAGATCACATGGAACCTTATAGGCTGTCTGACTCCAAAGTTAAATGTGAACCCAGGATATATAGGGCCTGAGTTTTAAAATTTCAGAGGCCAGAGCCTTTTTAAAGAAAAAGCCTAAAATTAGGCACAGGGCCTTGGAAGAGACCAATGTATGTTTTGAAGCTTAAGTTTCCTAAGCTCGACTTGTGCTGTACATTCTGTTGTCTTGATTGTGAAGTGAAAAGCTCTAAGACCTTAGAAAATACATAGCAGGGTCTTTTTTTTTAAAAAAAAATTCTGTTTGTTTTCTGATCATGCTTTTTATTGGACTTTTCACATAAGGTTATTGAGGGGATGCAGTTCTGGGGCCAGGGTCTAGAGCACAGGACATTGTTCACTTAGGCAACCAGGATCTTAATCATCTTTAAACATCTTCTTAACCTCTTTTCTGTTCTGGGAGCTGAGGTTTTACTATCTAGAGTTAATTTCAACTCCAGGTATTGGAAAAGCCCAAAAAACAAGGGCTTAACTTAGAATGAAAAATTTTGCCGTTGCTGTTGTTATGTGTCAACAAGTTTTTACTTTGATTATCGCTAATTTCTACAAACCTATAAATTAGAGTTATTGTTTTAATGGATGAAGAGCCTGAATCTCAAACAAGTAACTTGTTTGACATTGCAGAAGTAGCCAGGGGAATTATAGAATTTGATTAAAGAATGGTAGACTTGAAATTGATTTTATTATTCTCAGATACTCTCTATACAGACATTGGCAGAGTTTTTCAACAGTGCCCTATAGTGAAGCTTCCTAATGTACAGGCACACCTCATTTTATTGTGTTTCACTTATTTTGTTTCATTGCACTTCACAGATCCTGTATTTTTCACAAATTGAAGGTCTGCAGCAACCCAAATGGACAAGTCTATTGGCACCATGTTTTTGCAACAATATGTGCTTACTTTGTGTCACATTTTAACAATAATCAATATTTTAAGCATTGAATAAATGCTATCACATATTTTCTAAAATATAGCATATTATAATCATAACTTGTATATGCACTGGGAAACAAAATCAATTTGTGCCACTTTATTTTGATATTCACTTTATTGTAGTGGTCTGGAACTGAAATGGCAAAATTGCTGAAGTATACCTGTACTTTAAATATGAGTGTATTGATCACCATTAGCAGTATGTGAGGTGTTCTATTTGGGAAGTTTCCCCCTCGGTTCCTGTTTACCCTTAGTGATCGTTCTAAGATTTAAAGTGCACTTTCTCTCAGAGACTATTACTCTACCAAGATTGTTCTCTTTCTTGTTTTGAAACTATTCCTCCTTTGTTTTAACTATTATTCTTAACTCCAGTTTTCAGGCGTTTGCATAAACCTCACACTATCATTCCATTTTGAGTTGAGGGCATTTCAGCAATCAAACAATTCACTCACTGAAAAACGCTACATTCTGGGCATATCTTCCATGACAGTCCAGCAGGGTAGCTGTTGGAAATCCAAACATGTCCACTTTTGCTGTATGAACTTAATCTCTACCTCTTCATAGAACTTTGCCATAGGCTATGTGGGGCACCTGAGGGGAGAAAAAAAGAAAGAAAAAGACAAAAACAAACAAACAAACAAACCAACCAACCAACCAAATAAGGCAAGAGAATAAAGTGAGAAGGATAACATCCACAAGAGATCCACTTTGACATATAAGAGAAGAAATCTGGATTGCTCAAAGCCACAGTCACCTATAAGTGTAAATTGAACCCAAAGCGGCTTAATATACAGATGAGCACATGAAAAAATAGGAGATGGGAAAGCAGTGCATACCTAAACATGTAACTCCTCCTGCCAATTTTAAGATCATCATTACTTCAGTTTGTACCTTAGTCCTGGCATGTGATTAGGACAGTCCATTTCCTTCATCTGATGCTTTTCCACCTGCTATTTTATTCTGCAAGCTCTCAAAGTAATTCAGAGTCTAAAAACAAACAATTCTGTTTTCATGCTGGTTCTAAGATGGTACCCAGCAAGAGTGAAAATTAGGAAGGAATTTTATGTTCTTTTTTTTCAGCAATTCTGAGGAAGTTCTAGAACCATCCTTTAAGATAAAAAAAAGCTATTTCTGACAAAATATATGCATGACAGTTTTCAAGAAAAAGCTATTCAGCATTCTAAAGCTGATCTTAAAGCATTCTAAGAAGGTTAAGTATCAGTCAGCATGGAGTCAAGGTCGAAGAAAGACTAAAATTAAAAACTTTCTAGATCCAAAGCCAATGAATTCTCCAGTTCCTCTTTCCTAAAGAGTTGATGAGAAGTCCTAGAAAATGGAACAGAAGAGTCTTAAGTAATGTTTGACTAGACTGGATTACTCCCATTCTAAGTCCCAGGAATCCGTCTCACATTATATGTTTAGAACATTCTTTATATTTGAATATTTTCTTCAGAACCCTAATCACTGAACTTTTAACATTTATCTAGGAGGTTAATCTATAGTCTTTGCTACACTCTGCTGGTCCTATTAAAATGCTGGTCTCTTGATATAATGTAGTAACTATGATGCCACAATATCAAAGCACTTGAGTCCTTTTTGGGAATTGCACATTCTTCTACAATTTTCGGTGATGAGAGAAGCATTTAAAATTCTTTTTGGAGGACTCACAGCAACCCAGGGCCAGGGCTGTTGTTATGTTGTTATGTATGGCTGAGCTGGAATTGACGCAGAGCAGGCTTTTTAGCAGGTTTTTCCGAGACAGTTATCGCTAGGGAGATTATCACTAGGGAGATTACTCATCTTTCTTCCACAAAGCAGCTGGTGGAATAGAACCACATGCCTTTGGGTTGGTAGACCACCAATCACTAGGCCACCAGAGCTACTTTAGGACAGAACAGAACTGATGAATAGTTTCTAAGGCTATAAATGTTTATGGGAGCCCACTAAGATCTCTTTCTTCCAGAGCTGGTGGATTTCAACCATCCACCTTTTGGTAAGCAGCTGAGCACTTGTTACCCAGTTTAACAACTGGGTAATAACGACCTCTCAGGTATCTCCCGAGGAAGTAAGAAACAAATGTGAAGGGGGCTCTGACATGACCTAGATGATTTAAGGTTTAAAATAGAGTCCTTGGAGAACAACTACAGGAGGGTAAACTTTGCTGTAAGTCAGTCTTTTGGGGAATGGGTTCAGGATTAGGAGATTCTGCGTATGTTCCACTTTTACCCACACAGCCTGAATCTAGTCTGCCCTTTCTCCTACTTTCCATCCCTACAGGTCTGCCTCTTTTCACTCTGTCTAGAGACTGGACTTCCTTTCCATCCAGATTTCTGGAACTCTGGTCGCAGGCACCTGGGGCACATCTGCCTGGCGCACATCTGCCATGGCGTCCCCTTTTCACTGCAAGGCCTCACTCACGCTGGGCCCTGTGAGCTCAGCAGCCCCGGGCCGGTGCCCTCCAGGACAGACTCAGTCTTCCTGCTTGAGGTCGCCAAACCCGCTTTGCCCTTCGGACCTGCTCTCCCGTACTGCTAAACCCTTCTTCATTAGGCCGTCTCAGAGTTCTCCCCTGAAGTTGGCTTCCCTCAGGGTCCAAGCGAGCTAGGTCAAAGCCCAGGGGCCAGGGCACCTGCAGAGCCCAAGGGGCAAGCGCCAGACGGTTGGACACTCGCCTCGTTCACGCGCACTGACCCGGCCTGCGGCCTCACTCACCCCAGCGGCGCGCGCCTGCAGACAAAGGCCAGCACTCACCCCACAGCAGCGCCGGCTCGAATACAGCTGGACTACAACTCCCAGGAGCCTCCGCGCGAGGCCACCAGCCCGTCTGGCTCAGGCCTTGGGGGTTCTGGCTTCCTAGAGCGCTGTGGGAAGCGTAGTTCCGTTACGCAGCAGCGCGCTGTCTCCGAGGTGGGTGGGGGTGTTATCGTTTTACTGCATTTCTGGGCCAGAGACTACAAATGTCCACCAGACCGGAGCAAAGACCAACCAAAGATTAGTAAAGTGGAGAGAGAGGGGAGGGGAGGGGAGGGGAGGGGAGAGGAGAGGAGAGGGAGCTGTTTCTCTGAAAGAAGATAAAGAAAATGGCTTTAGACTTGCCTGCAGTTCCTATCTCAGCACCACCTGAATAGCTGTGGGATTATGAACAGATTTCTTTCTTATTAGGGAATCCAGGGCTACAGTCAGGTGGCAGGGACAGGAGCTGGGGAAGGCAAAATGTGAGGTTCCAGGTCAGGTGACTTCCTGTCTTCTTCCCTCAGAATGCATGTGTGAACATAGAAAAAAGAGTTCTGCATGTCCTCTACCTGTTATAAAAAGAGAGCCTTATTTCCTTGGGTGACAAATCAGATTTTTCATCTTTAATTGAAGAAGTGACTAAAGAATTGAGAAATTTTAATCCTAAAATCAAGGGCAGCATGGGGATGGCCAAGTATAACCTCTACTAACTCCACAAGGGGAAACTGACTGACCTGGTCAACAGCATCCACAACACAAAAGGAGTTCTTTCAAAGCCAGATATGTCCCTCATGCTCCCTTACCTACTTTCTACTAATTCCAACAGCAATCTTACTGCCCTACAGGGTCAGAATCCATTGCAATAGCTACACAGACCTCAAAAAATTATGCTCACAATTATAGGGTTTACTAGGCAAGTGCAAGGTTACAACTCAGGATAACAACAGGATACAATTTCTCAGTACTGCTTCTGAAGAATACTTGCAGGCCATTCAGCTTTCAGCTTTGCAGGGTTAGGCCAGAGTTACAAAGCTCTCTAAGTTCTGCCTATTATAAAATTCCCCTTAGACTCCCAGCAAGCTTGAGCAAAGGCTCCTAGCTCTGTTCCAGAGGATAGCAGTTCCAAGTTAGTTCTGCTTTATACCAAATCTCTGATTCTTTGCTTCCGTTGCTCCTGCTGAAATTCTGACTGGTGCAAGAATTTCTGGCCTTGAAGGACTGAATTCTCTGCTTATTCTTTCTTACTGGTAGTGAAATTCCCCAAATTTCCAACACTGAACCCACTCAATTTAAACCTAGCAATGGCAAAACTAGACAATCCCCTTCTGTATAGACTGACACATTTGATTTGCATATTCTTGTCCAGCCATGTGGCAAAGTCAAGGGCAATGGTTTAGAAAAGCCCCACTACATTACATATAACTAGACCAATAAACTGTTGTCCAAATGAAGCAAGGGAACACTGCATGGCTAAAAATTAAGGAAGGTATGTATTAGGACTATATAATTTCTCTGTACCTATTCAACCTGTATGCTGAGCAAATAATTTGAGAATCTGGACTATATGAAGAAGAACGTGGTATCAGGGTTGGAGGAAGACTCAACCTGGGTTATAAAGATGATACAATCTTGCTTGCTGACAGTGAGGATTTGAAACACTTGTAGCAGAAGATCAAAGATTGTAGTGTTCAATATAAACATAAAGAAAATAAAAATTATCACCACTTGGGTCAATAGGCAACATTGTGATAAATGGAGAAAAGAGAAAAATTGTCAACAATTTTATCTTGGATCCACAATCACTACCTTTAGTATCAACAGTCAAGAAATAAAAAAAGATGTATTACATTGGGAAAATCTGCTGTTCATTACCTCTCCAAAGTGCTAAAGAGCAAGGATGTTCATTTAAAGACTGAAGTGTGTGTGATTCACGTCAAAGTATTTTCAGTTACTTCTTATTTATCTGAGAATTGAACAATGAATAAAGATGATAGATGAAGAATTGATAATTTGATATGTGGTGTTGGAGAAGAGTACTGAATATCTATCTCATGGACTTTCAAAAGAACAAAAAGTATGTCTTAGAGAAAGTGCAACCAGGGTTCTCCTTAGAGACAAAGGTGGCAAAACTTCATCTCACAGACTTAGGGCATCTAGTTATGTTGTTAGGAGGGATCAGACCTTGGAAAAAGACGTTCTTGGAAAGGTGAAGAGTCAGTGAAAGAGATGAAGAACCTCAATTAGATAGATTTACACAATGACTGTAACAATGTGCACAAGCAGAGCAGAGGTTATAAGGGTGGCACAGGATAGGGTTGGTTCAAGTCCATTTATAGGGTCCCTATGAGTTGTTGTTGAAACAGCAGTACCTAACAATAACAACTATAAATCAGCACAGTGGATAAGAGCTCTTATTCATGGGGTTTCAGGGAACAAAAATAGTAAAATTTTCAGCACTTCTGTGTCATCCTGGAAAGGAGACAAGCATCCATTATATAAAGACTTCCTAAAACAAACAAACAAATCAAACACTCAGTTTGCTATCTCAGTTAATTCCAACCAATGATAATCCTCCATCAGGCTTCTGAGGCTGTAAATATTTAAGGAGGAATCTGTTCATCTTTCTTCAACACAATTTGAAGTGTTTACCGATGAAGATTAAAGACTTCAGTACAGATTAACTTCAACATAAAGGGGAAAAAATTCTCATAAATGGACCTATGAGCAACATAATGATAAGTGGAGAAAAGATTGAAATTGTCAAAGATTTCATTTTGCTTGGATTCACAGATAATGCCCATGGAAGCAGCAGTCAAGAAATCACACAGACAAGAGGCAGTTTTTGAG